CCCTAATCCCTTTTCTCAGCAACATTTAAACTCCCTGTTTATTACTCATGCTGGGAAGCCTATTACCAAAATTAGTTCCTTAATAATAATTTGTGTGGCTGCTTGCACAAAACCAGATATCCTTTGCCTTTCACAGCATTTCTTAACAAAAGCAGCGTTTCTGGGAGCAGCAGAGAAGGAAAAAGTGCCCTCTGTTTTCTTGCCCATGTGAAGGCGCACGTGCAAAATGTAACCGGGGATTGTGGCAAACTTTGGCTATGCCCTACAAATTCCAGTTAGCCTATTAAGAGGTACCCTATGCACCTCTCTGGGCTCAGAACAAACCTCCTCCGTTTTCAGCCCTGGGGATCTTCCACGGGAGTGTTTTCCTGCTGATGAAGCGAAAGACACAAGAAAAGAAGAGTCCAGTTGTGCTCAGTACGAGCTGAGCTCACACGCAAGCCAGGTTTTCTTAGCCATGGTTAACCGAAGAGGCCATGATGGCCGTATCTGCACTCAGGGTCAAGCCCCAGACAAAATGCCCCTGAGCCCAGGCTGTTCTTCAGCTCCCTTTCGACAACTCATCAAACCAGAAGTCAAGCCATCTGAAGGAATCTTTGCACAGATCTTTCACGTGGGAAAACGCCGAATATACCCAGGACAAGTCCTTAATCAGCCAGGGAGCATCAGGCATTCACTTTCGGCTTCAGCATCTCTTTCCTAGCCTCATATGCTGCTCTTGGATGAATGGATTTGGTAATAGACGAAGCGGCTGGAAAAGGAGGGCCGCCGATTTTAAGGGCATCCTGGCCGGGTTGGGACTTCTCCAGTTTTGCAACAGACGAGCACGGGCTGCCGTCTTGCAAACATGTATTTATGGCTCAGGTTTTCATGCCCCCAACTGACAGAAGCTCTCACCTCTAGCTTCTTTCTCGTTTTTAAAGTCAGGATGAATACTCAGCTCCTGGATAGCGACTGCTCTATAGAAAGGTGGGCCCAGAACCGGGGGCTCCTCTGTGGAGTT